GGGGGGTGGGGGGCCCCCCCCCCCCCCCCCCCCCCCCCCCCCCCCCCGCGCCAGAGTACAAGAAGAAGTACAGAGAGCACGTCCTGCAGCAGCATGCCAAGGTGAAGGAGAGGAACGCGCGCTCCGTGAAGATCAACAAGCGCTTCACCAAACTGCTCATCGCGCGCGAAGGCGCCGCGTCGGTGGACGGGGCGCTGGGGCCCGCGGACGAGCGGGAGACGCAGCGCGCGCGGCGCTCCGACACGCACACCTTCAACCGCCTGTTCGGCCGCGACGGAGAGGGCCAGCGGCCTCTGACGGTGCTGCTGCAGGGCCCGGCGGGCATCGGCAAGACCATGGCGGCCAAGAAAATCCTGTACGACTGGGCGGCGGGCAAGCTGTACCACGGCCAGGTGGACTTCGCCTTCTTCCTGCCCTGCCGGGAGCTGCTGGAGCGCCCGGGCACGTGCAGCCTGGCCGGCCTGATCCTCGACCAGTGCCCGGGTCGCAGCGCCCCCGTGCGGCTCCTGCTCGCCCGCGCCGAGCGCCTGCTCTTCATCCTGGACGGCGCCGACGAGCTGCCCCCGCCCGCGCCCGCCGACGCGGCGCCCTGCACCGACCCCTTCGAGGAGGCGGAGGGCGCGCGCGTGCTGAGCGGGCTGATGGGCAAGACGCTGCTGCCCGGGGCCCGCCTGCTGGTGACCGCCCGCGCCACGGCCCCCGGGAGGCTGCAGAGCCGCCTGTGCTCGCCGCAGTGCGCCGAGGTGTGCGGCTTCTCCGACAAAGACAAGAAGAAGTACTTCCACAAGTTCTTCCGGGAGGAGTGGCTGGCGGAGCAGGCCTACCGCTCGGTGAAGGAGAACGAGACGCTGTTCGCGCTGTGCTTCGTGCCCTTCGTGTGCTGGATCGTGTGCACGGTTCTGCGCCAGCAGCTCGACCTCGGCCAGGACCTGTCGCGCACCTCCAAGACCACCACGTCCGTGTACCTGTTCTTCGTCGCCAGCTTCCTGAGCTCGGCGCCCGCCGCCGACGGGCCCCAGGTGCAGGGCGAGCTGCGGAAGCTGTGCCGCCTGGCCCGCGAAGGCCTCCTCGGGCACAGGGCGCAGTTCGCGGAGAAGGACCTGGAAAGACTGCAACTTCGCGGCTCTAAAATCCAGAGGCTGTTTCTCAGCAAGAAAGAGCTGCCGGGCGTGCTGGAGACCGAGGTCACCTACCAGTTCATGGACCAGAGCTTCCAGGAATTCTTCGCCGCGCTGTCCTACCTGCTGGATGACAAGGGAGACCGGGCACCGGCTGACAGCGTCGGGGCGCTTCTGCGGGGCAACGCCGAGCTGCGCAGCCACCTGGCGCTCACCACGCGCTTCCTCTTCGGGCTGCTGAACACAGAGCGGATGCGCGACGTCGAGCGCCACTTCGGCTGCGTGGTTTCAGAGCGCGTGAAGCAGGACGTCCTGCGGTGGGTGCAGGACCAGGGCCACCAGAGGGCGGCACCGGAGGGGACCCAAGAGACGGAAGCGCCGGAGGGCAGGGAGGAGCTGGAAGAGGACGAGGGCGAGCTCAACTACGTGCTGGAGCTGCTGTACTGCCTGTACGAGACTCAGGAGGGCGCCTTTGTGAGCCAGGCCCTGCGTGGCCTCCCTGAGCTGGCGCTGGAGCGGGTGTGCTTAAGCCGCATGGATGTGGTGGTCCTGAGCTACTGCATAAGGTGCTGCCCCGAGGGGCAGGCCCTGCGGCTGGTTAGCTGTGGACTGGCCCCCGCACATGAGAAGAAAAAGAAGAAGAACCTGATGAAACGACTGCACGGCAGCCTGGGCGGAAGCTCGTGAGTCTACAGGGCAGGACTGTCCTGGTTCCCAGGCCCTGGGGGAGGGGGCGGGGCGGGGGCAGGGGGGCGCGTGTGCCAGTGCACCCGAGTCTCCGTCGGAGCAGGGGAAGCCTGTCCCCCAGAGGAGAGCAGGACTTCAGGGCTGGTTACGCCCACCCCCTTGCAAGGCGGCTCCTCATGTCCGTCTTCCCCCGCCTGTCCTGCCATGCCGACCCCCAGCCATCCACATCCGTTCCTAGCGTGGAATACACCACGCCGGCCGTGCCCTGAGCTTTTGCACCTGCTGTGTCGTGCACCCAGAGCACTCTGTCTGCTGCCTATCCTCAATGCTGTCCCAGCCTCCCTCAGCTGGCCTGGGACCCCTTTGGCCCCAGAAGTGCCCCACTAACCACTGTATGCCACGATGTCTACCCTTTGCCAGATACTGAGCTCCTTCAGGGCCAAGTCTTCTGTGTACTTAACTCCGACCCAGCACTTGACCCAGAGCTCAGCATCTGTTGAGATAACGAATGTCAGGATGCTGACGGGCCGGGGCTGGGGACGCCCACTGCAGGCGCAATACAGACCCACATGGGATGTGGGTGACATGCCCCCCACTGGACTCGGGCAGACTGCTTCAGCGGGGAGCTGCATGGGGCCACAGATGAGTGGTTTCGCTCTGGGTTTGGAGCAAAGAGGGTGGAGGGGTCCTGGCGCAGCTTGAGGTGGAGAGCGGAGGCAGCTCTGACACTCAGGGCCACAGGAAAGAGGTGGGGACTGCGAGGGGACGAGTGGGCTTCACCTTGCTGTCTCTCCTGGCAGTTCACAAGCCACCATGAAAAAAACCCAGGCCTCTCCACTGCGTTCGCTCTTTGAGGCCATGACTGACCAACACTGCGGTCTGAGCAGCCTGACGTGAGTGACCAGGCCCCCACGGCCCCCCTGGAGGGATGCAGAGCAGGGTACTCTGGGCAGGGGCAGAGGGGTAGCCCTGTCTGGACATGGCAGAGGGGACAGGCTGAGAGCCTGTGGCCTCTGGCGTCCTGTGCTGGGGCCAATGGGCTCTGCCCACGTAGCCCGGAGGAGCGAGGAGGCGGTGTGGCCCGGGGCTAGGAAGGAGGGTTTGGCCCTGTTAGAGTGCGAAGCATGGTGCTGCTGAGTGTTCTGGGGGTGGGGAGGCAAAGACCAGAATAAATTTTCCTTCCGAAGGAAGGCTACTAGTTGCTACTGGAAAGTGATGGGCAGTCCCTCTGGGCTCTTACAAGCAGCGGAGGGAGGTGTTGAGGGCACAGGCTCTGAAGTCCAGGCTGCCTGCCTCCGAGCCCTTGGGCGAGTCAGTCTGTCTGAACTCGTTTCCTCCTCTATGGAATGGAAGGTTCCGCCTCAGAGGGTTGGTATGAGACTTAATGTAGCAGTGGGTGCACAACGCTGAGTATGTGACCTTATCACCAAGTAAGCAGAAGGTAAGAGAAATTGTAGGAGCTAGTGCTGGTGGGGCACAGTGAGATGGGCACAGCCTATGGCCACGGTGACACGGTCACCTCGCTTGGTATGACGTTCCAGCAACCTGGAGATAAACATTGGGAGCCAAGAAGGTGATCGGTGCGTTTGGCCCATCAATGCTGCCACTAAACTGAACGCGTGGTGTTCATCACAGCAGTATTTATAATGGCAACAAAGGTGGAAACAACACCCACTTCCCCATCGTCAGGGACCAGCTGGATGAATAAACCATGGCCACCTTAACCCGATGCTCAGCTACATGCAGTTAAACATGCTGACAGTAAGATCCGCATTGGCTCATCCAACAGCTAGTAGAGAATAGTGCCCTAAGGAAAAGTGGAGTGCAGTCCAGCATGCACAGGCACATGTGGCCAAGGCTCCCCAGGGACACGTGTGGTGGGTAACAAAGGACAGGGGAAACTTCCTGTCGAGCCAGCGCCTCTCCAGACAGAGCCTCGGCCGCCCAAGGAGCAGGCAGTTTGCAGAGGTGGGGACAGTAAAGCGGCCAAGGGGACTGAAGACAGACACATGTGCTCTTGACCACAGGCTGTGCCGCTGCAAACTGTCTGACTCTGTCTGCCGAGACCTCTCTGAAGCCCTGCGGGCGGCCCCCGCCCTGACTGAGCTGGGCCTCCTGCAAAACGGGCTCAGTGAGGCCGGCCTGCGTGTGCTGAGTGAGGGCCTGGCCTGGCCCCAGTGCCGGGTGCGGAAGCTCAGGTGAGGGCCTGGCCTGGGGGGGGGGGGGGGGAGGGGGAGGGACACGGTACGGTGGGGGGGCGGTTGGCAGCAGCCTCTGAGGGTGGCCGTCCCCCCCAGGGTGCAGCAGCCCACCCTCCAGGAGGCGCTTCATTACCTCATCGGCGCGCTCAGCCAGAGCTCCGCGTTGACCGCCCTGGATCTAAGTGACTGCCAGCTGCCAGAACCCGTGGTGACCTACCTGTGTAGAGTCCTACAGCAGTCAGGATGCCACCTACAGACCCTCAGGTAGACACAGGGGCGGAAAGGGGGATGGGGACTCGGCCTCTCAACGACTGGGCTGGGTGCCTGGGGACTTCCCCTAGACCCTGAAGAGTAACTCCTCCCGGGGCTCCCCCAGTGCCCACACTCAAACCCAGCCCCTGAAAACCCATGCTCCAAAAAGTCCTAGCCCCAGTCCTCGGCTTCAACCATTTTGCCAGACCAAATGTCCATCTGTCATCCGGGGCCCATGGCAAGTCTGGGCCAATGATCCCAACACCTTTTTACTCCCCCAAGGGCTCTGGCCCCCACCGCCTAACCTCTTTGCCCAACCTCTGACACCCCTGACTAACCACCTCTGTCACTGTGTGCCTTTGGCACAGCCCAGGCTGACAGCCCCATCACTGCCCCCACACTGCTCTCCTGTCACTGTCCCCCCAGCCCTGACCTCAGCTTCCCCAACCGACTCCCACTTCTGTCCATACACATGGCCGCAGTCTGACCTCTGTGAAGCTGAGTGCACAGTCGCTGCAGGAGCTGCGGGAGGTGAAGAAGGCAAAGCCGGGTCTGGTCATCACACACCCACTGCTGGAAAGTCACCCCTAAGCCTCCCACGGGATTCAACTGTGTCCTCTGAGGCCCTGAATGCCAGGGGAAGGACTCTGGTCAGCCCTGTGGAATAGATGTCCTCATCCCAAGGGCAGGAGGATGTTGCTCTCTGCTCCGGGCCGCCCTTTTGAGCCTGAGGGGCCCTGGGCAGGCAGGTGAGAGGCAAGGACACACATGGTCTCTTACCTGGTCGGGGACAGGTGTCCCAGGCCATGCCTCTCCCCCCATACCCTGGGCACAGGTTCTGTCTCTGTTCTCTACACCCAGGGAGCCCTCTTGCCCCAACCCCCCCCACCAACTGCTCCACCCACCTACCTCTCCTGGGGCCCCCTAGCCATCACCCTGCAGATACCCCCGGCAACAATAATGCTGACAGCTCCCAGTCATCAAGTCTCTGCCATGTATTGGCCTTGACCTGGTGTGCTCAGTGCAGAGCAACTCCTTCACTGATCCCATCCCCATCTGCACTGTGGGCCTCACAGCCCCACAACTCTGCCCTTGGCCACAAGGGATCAAGCAGAGGCTGACCCCTGACCAAAGGCAGGCAGGTCACTATTCCTCCCCAGGAACTTGGGTCTTGGCATCGGAAGTGAAGCCATCCCCAAGGCTGTGTGGTGCCAGCCCAGTGGTGTCCATTCACTGCCTAGGTCTTCAGAGATGGAGACCAGGGGAGGGGGGAGACCACAGCAGACTGGACTCCAGGTAGGAGCTGTGGTGGAAGGGGCAGCAAGCAGCCTGTCCCCACGTCCATGTGCTGATAATACATTCTCCTTTGGATTCTTTGGTGTTGATTTGTGTTGCATGCGGCCAAGCATCCTGACGGGTGCTCACAATCTTTCCTTTGGTCCCCAATCCATCTGTGTGGGGTGGGGTTGTGTTCCCCATTTCCCAGATGAGGAAACTGAGACTCAGGGCTACAGCCTACTACAGGGAGCTCTGAGGTGAGGCCTGTCTTTGATGGACAGGGGGAGAAGCAGACAGGCCCTGAATCTTCAGGTCTTCTCTGCTCAACACTGCAGGGCTTAGCCAGCTCCTGGGACCCTAGTCCAGGTGGGAAAGAAGCATGGGAGTCAGCCCCTTCACTTCTAGGGGAAATTTCCTTCCATAATCATAGTTCAAGTCCAGTCATTCATTCCACAAAACAGACAAAAATCCCTGCCTTCCTGAAACTGGCAGGAAGACAGATAGTAAACAGGTATAGACGGCCACCAACAAATGCTTGGAGGAAAGCAAAGCAGGGCAAAGTGGGAGGAGACCGTGGAGTCAAGGGTTTCCCGTTACAAGGGAGGGATCTCTTATGGACAGGACAGGACGGAAGTGAGGCATCAAGCCCTAAGGGTACCTCGAAGGAAAGTGTTCCCCGCAAAGGAACAGTACAAGAGCCATGAAGAGGAGTGTCTTGGCCAACTCAGGCTGCTGGAAGAGACCACAAACCGGGGGGCCTCCCAAACACAGAAATTCATTTCTCCGGAGGCTGGGATGTCCAAGGCCAAGGTGCCAGTCAACCCAGTGTCTGACAAGGACCCTCCTCCCGTCTGCAGAGCGGTCTCCTCTTGCTGTGTCCCCACATGGTGGAAAGAGCGGGCTAGGTCTCAGGCCTTTGCCCGTAGGGGCTCTAATCCCACTCTTGACAGCTCTTGATCTGATAACCTCCCCAAGTCCCCACTTCCAAAATGGTCGCACTGGGAATTAGATTTCAATGGATGATCTGGGGGCACGCAAACATTCAGTCTGTAACAGGGCACATGCTTGGACTGTTGCAGAGGCAGCAAGGAAGCCACAGTGGCAGCAGTGGCCTAGCAGAGGTGTGAGGGGGGCCGGTGGGGAGCAGGTGGTCAGGGATGCTAGCTGGCCTGCCCTCTGGGTGGGGGCGGGCACCATTGCAGGCTTCTGAGCAGAAGGCACTCTCAGGGTGGCTGTGGCTATGTTAACAAGGGCTATATAGGGCAGAGCATAAGTAGGGTGTGTGGACTGTCCATCCAAGAGGAGGGCTTGCTCTCAGAGGTGGCCGGGTGGCAGTGGGGGTGATGGAGCTGACAAGCCGTGGAAAGTGGAGAACAACAGGATCTGTGGACAGAAGTGGAGGGGGTGGACCACGGGGGCCTGAGCACCTGGACAGGTGGAGTCCCCATCCCCGACACTTGGGGAGGCCACAGGAAGAGCAGACTTCCAGGCACACTGTTGGCTCTGAGTATCTCCTGCTGGGCCCAGGGGTGGAGCACAGACATCTGGGTCAGGCGCGGGGCCAGAGAGGCTAGGAGACAGACCCGTGGCCTAGCCGCCTTAGAGGGCCCAGGCGGGGGATGCAGACTGGGGGTACGACGGGCTGGGCAGGGCATGAGGAAGAGCCGGAGCCAGCGAAGAGGACTTCTGCAGAAGGAGGACCACCCGCGCCACTCCCCGGAAGGGGAGACCCGGGAGGGAGGAAGCCGCGGCCGGCGAGGGGCGATCGCACACCAGAGGCCCCTGCCCCTCTCACAGCCGTCCCTCCACGCGTCCTTGAGGTCAGGGTTCAAACTGTGCGGGCCCGCGCGGCTTCCCCGGGAGGCCCGCCGGCGCGCCGGGGGCACCGGGTCGGCACACCGGCTGCTCCGCCCTGGGGCCCGGGGGCGGGGATCGCGGGGCCTTCCGGCCGAGACGGCGGCGCCCGCGACTTCTCCCTCCGGCCTGGAAGGGGCGGCGCCGAGCGAGCTGGGGGCCTGGGGTTACGCCGGCTGCGGTGTGGCCCAGAGACCCTCCTCCCCAGCCCGCTCCGCAGAGCTCGGGCCGCTTCCCCGCCCGGCGACGGCGCCCCTCCCCCAGGTCCGGAAGACTGAGGCCTCCGAGCTCCCCACTAACAGGTCTGGGCTTGTGGGGGCGCGGCTTGGAGAGAGCTGGCAGGGTTCGAATTGAAGTCTGAAGGTGGGAATCTGGGGACTCACTGGGTCTCTGGAGATCAGCATCAGGGGTTTGAGCGTCTCTCAGGGTTGGGGGTGTTTCCAGGGGTGGCTCAAAAGTAAGGGCTATGGAAAATCAGGGCTGAGTGCGGGTGGCCCACACCCCTCCCACCAGCTCTGGGAGGCATCCGCCAAGTTCCAGCGGGTGCCTGGGGGTTTACAGTCAGAAGAGGGAACAAGGCCGGCCAATTGTGGGGGCCCCTGACTCCCCCTTTTCCAGGCCAATCTGCTGAGCAAGCCTTTCCATGGAGGATGCCAGCGAGGACCCCACCGTTTTCAGTGCCCATTCTCTGCCCGGTGACCCCCGGCTCTTGGCCACCGTGACCAACACATACTTGGGCACGCGTGTGTATCATGACACGCTGCATGTGAGCGGCGTGTACAATGGGGCTTGTGGGGACACACACCGGGCCATTCTGCCTAGTCCCCTCAACGTCCAGCTGGAGGCCCCTGCAGAGACCGGAAATCAGCTGACCGAGACCTTTGCCCTGGACACTAATACAGGTAGCCACCACTGTCCCGCTCCCCCACACCCGAGGTGAGTGCGGCAACCGACAGCAGTCCCATCCCAGCACCTCCTAACTCAGGATGCTGGCTCACAGAGATGACGAGGGTTTCAGCCCTGCCGGCCTCCCGACCTGGCTGGCACTGGTGCGTGGGGCCGTCTGTGCAGCTGTAGCTTCCCAGATGGGGCAGCTGGGGCTCAGAGGGCGGATCCACCTTGCCGAGGGGCTGGTAGCTTGGTAACTGTCCTCGGGGGTCCCAAGTGGGGCGTGTGAGTTGCCCTGACCCCCTCTGCCCCTCCCCAGGCTCCTTTCTGCACACTCTAGAGGGCCCCAGCTTCCGGGCCTCCCAGCGCCTCTACGCCCACCGCACGCTGCCTCACGTCCTGGCTTTCAGTGTGTCCATCACCCGCATGGCCGGGGAGAGCCGACCCATTACGGTGCTGCTGCAGTCGACCTTCTCCCCAGAAAGCCCGGACCTTCACCTGCATCTGGGTCCTGACTTCCAGGGAGCCCGGTGAGGAGGCCGTCAGGGCTGGCCAGGTAGACCGAGGAGGGAGCTGGTCCCTTAGACATGGCCGCACTCTTGCAGGTACCTTTGTGGCCACACACTCACCCCAGAGCAACCTGGGGGGCCGCAGCAGGAGGTACACATGCTATGGACACCAGTGCCCCCAGCCCTGACCCTCGGGGAAAGCGAAGAAGACCGGACCTGGGAGTTCCTGACCGTGGTGGGCGGCAGCCAGGCGGAGGCCCAAGCCTGCCTCACGGAGGCCCTGCGGCTGCAGGCGGGAGCCGCTCTGTACCCTGCCCACGCCCAGGCCTGGGCCCAGCTCTGGGCTGGCTGTGGCCTGGACGTGGTGGGGCCCCTACCGCTGCGCCAGGCCCTGCGTGGTGCCCTCTATTACCTGCTCAGTGCGCTGCCCCAGCCGGGGGCCCCAGGGTACGCCAGCCATGGCCTCAGCCCTGGGGGTCTGTCCAATGGGAGCCGAGAGGAATGCTACTGGGGCCATGTCTTCTGGGACCAGGTATGTACTGTTCTACCTCCCGACACACAGCATGCACAGGTGGGGCAGCACACGGGTGCGGGGGAATCCCATGGCTGCGGGCACAGGTGTGGCTGCTGTCTCTGCCCTACCTGGGATGGGGACTGTGACTGGAGAGGCACAGAGGCCAGGGCAGAAGGGGAGCCTTCCTGGAGGAGGTGGGACGTACAGGACTTTGGTGGAAAAGAGTGACTCGGGCAGAGGGACCAGAAGGTACAAACACCAGAGCTCAGAGGGTGTGTGCCATCTGGCCAGGGCAACAGGGGCTCTCACCACGGCAAGAGGAGCAGATGCAGGGCGGGGGGGGGGGGGGGGCCGGGGTTAGGGTTAGCCATGGAGACTTTAACTTGGGAGTGACACTGACAGAGGTGTCGTCTAGCTGCTGAGTGGAGCGTGGGTAGAAGAGGGTGAGGCCTCAGACAGGAGTGGGAGCCAGGAGAGGCTGGGACTTGGCGGACGTTGGGCACGGGAGGGACCCAGGGTGCTAACCCCTCAGCAGCCAATGCTGTGGCCCACTCTGGTGAGGCTTAGAGAAGCTGAGTCACTCACTAGGTCGGGCAGCTAGTGAGCCACGGAGCAGGCTCCCGTCCGGGCTGCCCATGCCCGGATTCTGGCCTGAGCTCTGGGGCAGACCCAGAGGCCTGCTGGGGAGGGGAAGTACTGTGCCGGGCACCGGGCCCGGGGGGAGCGTTCGGCCTGGAGACTGGGCCGTGGGATGGGCAGGTGTGGATGGCCCAGGATGGAGCCAGGGCGGGCAGCAGAGGAAGAAGCTGGAAGGAGGCAGAGGGGCTGCCGGGGAGGCGGCATGGAGCAGTGCCGACTCTGGCCAGGGCAGAGTGTGGGCAGACGGGAGGGAGAAGGGAGCGAGAGCTCCCGAACCAGGGGCCCTTGGCTGCGCTCTTAGGATCTCTGGATGTTCCCAAATATCCTGATGTTCCACCCGGAGGCCGCCAGGGCCCTCCTGGAGTACCGCATCCGGACGCTGGGTGGGGCCCTGGACAATGCCCGGAGGCTGGGCTACCAGGTGAGGGGGACCTGGGTGCCCACCCTACAGGGCCCCCTGAAGGGCCTGATGTCCCCACATCCCTCAGGTTCCTCTCTGGGTGGGGCTGGGTTTCCCAGATTCTTACACAGGCTCACGGCACCCCTCAGCCTGTGCCGTAGAGGCAGCAAGAACAGCCTGGCCGGGCTCGCCTAGAGTCCCCTTACTGCCCTGGCCCAGGGTCAGCACAAAGGGAAACTGGGCAAAGCCACCTGGCCTATGACAGGGGCACACACTGGGCACTCGGAGCCCG